ATTAACATGTACATACTAATCGATAATTTTGAAGCCAGTCAGTAGCATTCTGCCAGATGGAATACGAGCGGGCGGTAGTTCGCGGGTCTAACGTCGTCATTACTACTGCTGCTTCTAATGCTGTTGATCCTTTGAAGGGGGTCACGGTTGGATGACCTTCTCTGTCCACATGAGTTCAAACACTGACAGGGAAAGTTCGTGCCGTGGGAAAAAGGCATTAACCGTCACCAGAGCGTTGGGTAGGTCAGTTGGCGCGCTGTAGCCCTGAATCGTACTCTATTCTGAGTGTCGGTCTAACAACCCGACCCCCTCAAAATTCACCTGTCTCCTGAAACTGCAGCTACATCCCTAGATGCGGTTGAGACCAGATATGCTCTATAAATCGATTACTAAAATAAGCAAACAAAATTAAAAAAAAATATCGATCCAAAAGCTGTTCGAATGTTTCGGATCTTCTATGGCTTCTGTTGTTATGCAATAAGAAACAACCAATTTGGCACCATTTCTTTGTTCATACCATCTTACGATTTGATGACAAGAAAAACACCGCAACTAATATTTTTAGTCGTCTAAACAACTCTTGGAATGAAATAAACTTTGCTTCTCAAAACATAACAAATAAAGATAACTCCGAAAAAAAAAAACCGGTACACAATATTTAAGTATATAATAAATATAACAAATTTAGAGCTGTTTTGATAATATTTCGACAATAATTTACATCATCGTCAGAACAAGCCGTTCAAACAGTTGCTTCTGAAAAACATCGTTTTGGAAAAACAGCATTTTTATTTATCTTTTATTTTTTATTTTTTTTTTTTTACCTTCCATCTTATTTAATTTTGTTGATTAAGTATCTGTTGTGGCAGTCTAATTTAAATATGCGAAGAGTGGAGATTATGATCTCCCTTACACAAGAGCAGGGAAGATTGTCTATATCCAGCTTACTTGAGTATCAACCACTACGATATACTACTTTACAAGAGTATTGTTCAACATCTTTTTGATACGTATCTTATTTTTATCGCAATGATGTTAGCCGACTTATTTGACTTTCAAATGAAATTTCAGGAATTTAGAATAAATGCTTAGCTTTGGACGATAGCGGATGTTATATCGCATACCCTTCCGAAGAACCGATGATGGCTTCCCATATCTTACTTTAAATCCATGAAAGTATTTTCAGTGAATTTTGGCTAGATTTTTTTTATGTATATATATTCTTCTGGCATTTTTAATTACTCGTAAAATGTTTATATATAAGGACGTATTTAATTTGCGGAATACGTCGTAAACATGTTCAAAGAAACAAATAAAAGGAGACCTGGAATTTGAAAGAAACAAAAACGAAACATATTTTTTAGTGCTACTGACATCAAAATGATTGGATTCGTGTGTGTGGGGGGGTGATAAAAATCACGAAGAAAGCAAGTCGCTAAAATTAAGTTCTGTCTTAAATCTATTCGCATGATGTTTCACCGTTGTTTCAGGAAGAAAGTGTTTTTGAATTCGGTTCTTTTTGTATTAACGTGTCACCTAACTACTCTAACATATCTAAGGGTAAAATATACCCACGCCCACAATATTTTACTCAGGGTAGTGCGGATAGTAGTTCCGAATGAGAAATCAGAACCCAGTTCGAAATCTAGTCGGGTTCGTTACATTCACACTTAGGCGCAAGTATCTTTGCGAAAAATATGAATACTTCTATTTTCTTCTCAGTTATGGGTTAAATAGTAAGAGTTGTATCTGGGGAAAATCGTTATCTCCGAAAAAAAATAGTTAACGCCATATTCATTTGCAAAAGTAAAGAATTGTTCTTACAATGCAAAATATGTTTTGGCTTTAAATAACCCACAAAGGGTTGATAAACCGTAAAAATCACAACAATCAATTTTATCAAATTGGGCATGTGAACGTTACACTAGTTTGCTGCGTCCCTAGAAATAATAACGCATTAAACGTTGTCGGGTTTTGTTCAGAGGGAACATGCGCATCCGCTCTCAGTCATTTTCGGTTTCTCTGTGTGTGTGTGAGGGGGGGGTTGTGGACTGCACTCTGTAAACTCCAGCTGAACTCTGCATGCGCTCCTTCTCTCTGGGCATTTCTGTCAATTCTCACGTTTACTGTTTGTTCAATAGCGATTACTGGTTTCTGCGAGATATTGATGTCCGTGTTCGGTTTGCTGTTTTAGTCATTGTTATATAAGAATAAAGTGGGGCACCTCGAGGTGGTGTTATGCTTAGCAAGCTTGTGTCGCTAGCACAATTACGACTGAGTAATGAGTTCGATCCTCACTGGGTGCCCCATACTTTTGGCCTTGTGCCACATCTGAGCTACGCTTGGAAAATCGCTATATAGGAATAAAGTGTCGTTGCCGACACTCGAGTTTGAACATAGATCGCCAGTGAGCAAACACAGACGATCCCATTATTGGATTAATTGGACCACGTGAACATAGAGGAAACGCATAAGTAGGAGGTTGCGTAACGTCTAATTG